GTTGCTGTTTTCCTATTTTCCTTTTCAACATGTATGTAAGGTTTATAATGGAAATAAACTTTCTCAGCATCTCTCAACTATTCCTGCGTGCATTTGGAAAGCCTGTGTAACTTATCGTCGTGTTTGAGGTTTATGTGCATACTGGAGGTCTTCTGTAAATTCCGCACTGGCCTTTGCTGCCGTGCCTGGTGAATGGGGCTATTATACTTACTGTGTTCGCCGGCAGGGTGAAGTTCAGTGAAAAACCCTGCAAGATAGAAGGAAACATTAAAGCTCCCAGGGACAGTCGGTAAGCTCCAAACTCACTGACCCTGGTGGATTCCGAGAGGTCATTGATCCTATAGATTCAGCCAGCACCCAACTTCATGCCCAGCCTTGGCCCCAAAAGGAGGAGGGGAGGAAGGAAGCCGGTCGTCAGTTCCTCCCTCAGCATCGTCAGCCTTGCCACCCCCATTCCCAAACCAGGTCCACAACCAGAACCAGATGAAGAGGGAGACTGCAAGGCTATTGCCTGAGGGGTCCCATTCACAAGGGCAGCAAAAACGTTACTAGAAATTCAGCAAAATGCCAAAATTATGTTTATTCTCCTAGAACTCCTTTGAGAGAGAAAAATGGCAAATTTAGAAGTACTTTGGGGCTGGGCACAGTAGCTCACGCCTGTCATCCCTGCACTTTGGGAGGCCAAGGTGGTTACATTACCTGAGGTCAGGAGTTCGAGACCAGCCTAGCTAACAAGGTGAAACCCTGTCTCTAATGCAAAAATTAGCTGGGCATAGTGGTGCATGCCTGTAATCCCAGCTACTCAGTAGGCTGAGGCAGGATAATCACTTGAACCCAGGAGACAGAGGTTTCAGTAAGCCAAGCCTAGGCACTCCAGCCTGGCCAACAAAGCGAGAATCTGTCTCACACACAAAAAAAGAAGTATTTTGTGTTTTCTCCTTGGAGTAGAAGATAAGACCCCCGCCAAAGGGCATGGTCTAACAATAACACCTGATCCTTACCTGGGAAAGTCAAGGCTTCTGTTTTTACTGTGTCTGAGGCAGAGGTTCTAGGCTGCTGGAGCTGAAGTGGCCAGAAGGACAGAGGAGCAGCGAACCCTTCTCTTTCCTCCCTTCACTCAGTAGCTGGTCTCACCTCTCCCACAAATATGGAGTCCAAATGCAAAGATCGCGGTCTCAGTGGAGCACCAAATAGCCTGCCCAGGGCCTCAGGTGGCTCCCTTCTCCTCCCTGTCCCCAGCCCCTGTTACTTCAGCCTTTCCAGGCTGCTCTCCACCAAGTCCCTTCCCTACCTGGATTGGAATGATGGGTGGACCTGCTCTGACCCGGTGACACCTTTTCCCCTTTCCCTGGGTGGAAGTGGTCTTGTTCCCACTTTCTGGACACTCAGCCCCTTGGGTCCAGTCACCCTGGATCAATGCCTCCTGGCTGGGCCCTCCTTCAGCCTCGGTCTCCCTGACCCCCAGAGATTCCCCTGGGCTTGGCCTACGCTATAGCTCCCCATCTTCCGAGCCTCCCAAGACCAGGTACTGTCATTCTAGAAACAATGCATTTGCTAAGTTGTAAAAGTAAATGTTATCCAACAGTAGGAATGTTGTGGAGGATTAAAGAATCCAAAAGAATCGTGTTTCACACCTGAATTACCTGAAAGATCATCTCCCTCAAAACCCTCCTTTTACAGCAGAGGAAACCGAAACCCAGGGACTCATCAGAAATCACATTGTGGACAGATGAGAACAGCTAGAGCTTATGTCTCAAAACCGACCAATGGGCTACGTCTATGTGATTCAACCCCAACCCGAAAGATGGTAACAGAGGAGCTTGTCCCAATATAAGCAGACTGATGAAACGCCTATTTCAGCTAACTTACTGATGCATTGGAATTCAGATGGGTTAATGAACAAGAAAATCTTTTGTGAACCAAAAGTGTTTTAAGCACCTAGAAGGGGTAAGTCCCCCTAGCTTTTGCCCCAAAGATTATGTCCTTCAATTAAGGAGGCCCTGCTCAGCCAGCATGCTTCAGTGGTGACTCTGCCCACTTCTCTGCCTCTTGGCAATAGGACAACCACATTTTATAGAGAATAAACCAAGCTTAAAGAATTTGAACAGGTTTCCCAAGTCCAAACAACCACTTAGCTGACACGAGAACCTGAGTGTTCTGGTGACAACCTCTTTCTACCACTCTGCAAGGATTCCAAGTAACTCTGAACGTCTCTGTGAATGAATCAGAACACCCAGGCTCACAGCACTGTGCACCTCTGCTTCTGGGATGATGATGAAACACAGGGACGTCTGGGTCTCTTTTTTTTTTTTTTTTTTTTTTTTTGAGACGGAGTTTCTTTCTTGTTACCCAGGCCGGAGTGCAATGGCGCGATCTCGGCTCACCGCAACCTCCACCTCCTGGGTTCAGGCAATTCTCCTGCCTCAGCCTCCTGAGTAGCTGGGATTACAGGCACGCGCCACCATGCCCAGCTAATTTTTTGTATTTTTAGTAGAGACGGGGTTTCACCATGTTGACCAGGATGGTCTCGATCTCTTGACCTTGTGATCCACCCGCCTCGGCCTCCCAAAGTGCTGGGATTACAGGCTTGAGCCACCGCGCCCGGCCGAGTCTCTTAGGTCAAGGTCCACTTGCTCAAGGAACATAACCACCGCCCTTCATGCTAACACCAAACCAACAGGTGTGGCAAGGACAGTTGATAGTTACTGCACTGAATGCAGCTGCCCAGAGCCTTATCTCATCAGTGGGCACTGGGCCCTGATGTCAGCAGCCCCAAGACAAAGCTTCCTTTGGGAAGACATCAGAAGAGGGGGTGCAGCAACAAGTGGGTCATTGCATGCGTTGTTTATCAACATTTGGATGACGGAGATTTGGGCCAATTTTAGAAAGACACTCATATTTTGTAGAAACAGTACAGTGCTCTCATGGAGAGATAAACATCGCACAAATTGGGGTGGAGAAGAATCTGAGGCAGTGCCCTTCAGAGACACAGCTGAGTCGGGTGAGGCAACCCTGGGCTTGGAGCCACCCGATCTAAATTCGAGTCCAGATTTAGCCACTTAGGAGCTGTATAGTCTTGGATAAGTTACTCAAACTCTCTGGTTTCCATTTCCTCATAACAAATCTATTCTCCCAGGCTCAGGTTTCCCATTCTCAAAATGGGATACTATTAACTTGCCTTGCCCACTTCACAAGATAAGTCCCAAGAGAATATCGTAATGCCATCTGTGGCCGCTCCTTTCTCCCAAACTGTAAAACACCCTATGTGTTTTAGGGATCACGTAGTAGCATGTTCTTGATGGCCTGGCCAGCACAGAGCAAGGGATAGGAAAGTTCTTGTGGGATGGAATTGCAAGTACGAGTTAGCAATAGTCAAAGTACTAGAATTTGATACAATGCACTTATTGCTTATTGCTAGTCTGAGCACTATGCAATATCTACACAACGATTCTGAAGGCACTTTGGGATCTCAGTGGCTGAAGGTCCTTCACTATAAGTTTGCAGTTTGTGAGAGGAAGGAGGAGGAGGAGCAGACAGGATAAAAACTTACTGCTATTGAGGATGTGCAGGTTTTAAGACCCTGTCCTCACAACTTCCCCATAAGGGGAGCCTATTATTCCTTTATTATAGCTGTGGAAACTGAAAGCAAGATAGGTTTTTGCTCACCAGCTTATACGTGGTAGAGATCAGGTTAGATCACAGATCTTCCTAACTCCAAAGACTGAGTTCTACCCTTTTTAATAATCCTTTTTGTTAGAAAATAAAGATTCCACAAGAAAGTGAGATTATGCAATATTTTTCTTTTTGTGTCTGGCTTATTTCGCTTAGCATAATGCCTTCCAGGTCCAAATAGGACAAACATGGCAAATGACAGGGTCTCCTCCTATTCTAAAGCGAATATTCGGTTGTATACATACATATACACCACAGTCCTTTTATCCATTCAGCCATTGATGGATACCTGGGGCTGTTTCCATAATTCTTTGGTAAAGAAATCCCAGAACCGTCTTCTGCTTTCTCTTCTAACTTAGCAAACTTTATTTGATTGAGTCGTAACTAAACATGTATCACAAGTAAGCAAGAAAGATAGAAAGTTTCTGATCAATGATGACCATCCATGTTATTGACAATGTAGCAAAAGCCAGATTAAACAAGTAAGACATAAAATCATTGCTCAGATGCATTGCTTCAGCTAGAAAGTGAACATACATGAAACATCTACTCTGTACCCTTGTATGTGGGGGTTTAAAAACAAAACCTTAATATCAAAATGAAAGACAAGATCAGCAAATATTAGGTGAGAAGTTTTAAAAATGATTAGTATTTTGCATATAGGAAAATAATCTAAAATCAAGTTCCTTTACTTCAGTGTACACTTAATTGAATTAGGGGACTTGAGCTTTAGAAGCCTGGGAATTGTTTTTACAGAGAAACATGAAAGTTCGATTGAGAAGAGATGCCAGCTCTCACTCACCATTTCTGACAGCCTCCCAAGAACCTTCTTTGTACGCTGCCCTTGGCAAGCTCCTTTCTCACTGGCGTTATTGGCTTGTGTCTTTCATTTGTAGCAACAGTTAGCTGAGAAAACTGTGGAGGCAGGCTGAGAGGTGGCTCCTAGAGGACCCTGGCCAAGCCATTTATGGTCAGGGGAGTAGCCAAGCCCTCAGTCCATCCCTCGGGAAAGATGGGCTGCTGGTCCATGGCCACTGTGTATGGCCTGGTTCACGCATCCTCTTTGCCTTGATTTTCTGTCCTTCTTATTTTTCAGGCTCTTGCTCGGCTACACCTCCATCTCAGCAAAGAAGCCACAGCTGGCCTGAGAGCTTGGGGGCTTCTGTAGCCTGCAGCTCTTTGGAAACAATGGGTTACACAAGGCTGAGGCTGGCCACTCCATCCTCAGCTGACAGGCATCCCCGTTAACCATCCAGCAGCATGGATGTCCAGGATGCCTGGAGGAGGCGTGGGGGCCCATTCTGCTGCAGGAGTCGCACTGCTGCGGGCTCCAGTTACTGCAAGGTACTGCACTCACTGGACAACAAGCTCCCTGGTGTGAGTTTGACCTCACCCCCTCTCTGTTTTTGCATTTTGGGTGGGAAGCTCTCTAGACCTGGAGGAAGCCATGGACATGGGCTGCTTTGTGACTTATGATTTCTCTGTTAGGGATTTGCCTCTTTAAAATGGTGAGTGAGTTGCCAGTAAAACAACAGGATTAAATCAATAGTTTGGCCATTGAAATGAAAACCACTGTGAGAGGAGCAAACAGGAGTGTAAGGAGAGAGCGACTCAAGAGACAGAGGAGGCCGTGGCTTTAGATGACTCTGGGAGATGGTACTGAAGCTGTGCATGAAAGATGAGAAGCGGGCAGACATGTGAAGGGTTGAGGAAGCAGAGTCCCAGGCAGCAGCCACGGCAAGGGCTAACCTTTGCAAGCTTGGTGCACTCACAGAACCGGAAGGAGGCCGGTTGGCTGGAGCAACGTAAACCAGGGAGTGACCCCAGAAGGGGCTAAGGATGGAGTGAGTTTGAGCCCTTTTGATGTGCCATGGGAGGGCATGGTAAGATTTTCATCCTTAAAGCCTTTCCCAAGGGTTTTTCAGTGGGAGACGCATGATCTAATTGCTGGTGACCAAGACTGCTGGGGCTTCTCTGTGGAGCCAGGACTACAGGGGAAGAGAGTGGAAGCAGGTGGTGGCTGGTGAGTGAAGTCCAGGTGAGCGATGAAGGTGGCTGCTGTAGGATGAGAGCAGTGAATGAGTGTGTGACTTACTGCAGAGGTGGAGCCAGTGGGATTTGATGATGAAAAAAATATGGAGCAGGGGAGGGGCGAGAAGACGAGGGAAAGAGAAGAATAGCGCCAACTCCTGGGTTTGGGGCTTGACTAACAAAAATGGAGACACTATTGGCTTAGGCAGGTAATACTGGAGAAACAGATCACCCTTATACCTGGGTAGCCTAGGGGCTGTCCAAGTGGAGGTGCCAAGCAAGCAATTGGATAAAGGGAGTCTGGGCTGAAGATGTCCATTTGGGAGAAGCCGGCCTGTGGATGAGCAGGTAGACAAGGCAGAGGGCCAGGACAGAGCCCAGGGGTTCACAGACATTTAACAGCCTGGAAGAAGTGGTGTTGCCAGCAGGGAGAGCTGAGTGAGGCAGGAAAGTCAGAGAAATTTGGGGATCAGGAAAGAAATTTGATTCAAGAAGGGAAGTGGATGTTGCTTAATTGTATTAGCTGCTGCTGAGAGGTAGCCTCTGAAGAGGTCAGAGGAGCCTTCTGATTCCCAGCTGGTGACCTTAACAAGAGCAGTTTAGTGGCACAGTGGAGACCAGATTGCCTTTAATCAGGTGGGTTTTCCATCCTGGTTGCACACCTGAATCGCCTAAGTGGTGGTGGGGGGGATGGTTATAAAAACTCTTGATGACTGGGCCCTGCCCCCAGAGACTCTGAGTTAATTGATCAGAGTTGGGCAGGGGCATCCCCAGGGGGGTGCTAATGAGCAGTGAGGGGTGACAGCTGGTGTTCTAATCTGTTCTTAGACTGTACACCCCACCTCCCAATACTATTACATGGGGGACTGGGATTTCAGTACACGAATTTTGTGGGTATACGAATATTGTTACAGTGGCCTTGGTCTAATTTTCAGAAATCTTTATATAAAATATTAGTAATAAGGTGGGGATAACGTGAAATTTTAGAACAAAAAAAACTTAGTCATTTTCCTATCTACAAATGTTACATGTGAGAGTCATTACTTCTGCCTACCAATGTTGCTAGTTTGCCTTATTCTTGTCATGAAGTTAAGGATAGCCATGTGACTTGCTGTGATCAATGAATTGAGTAGAAGGAATATGTCACTTCCAGGCAGTTTTAAGAGCCAGTGTGTCATGTGTCACCCTTTTTTTTCCCTGTATTATAAAATCCAGCAATGTTCTGATGCTGCTGCTCCATCAGCCTGGTCCTGACCAAGGATGATATGGAAGAGTTTTCAGATGACCAGAAATGAACCTGTCGTGTAGACAAGAAATAACTCTTTCTTATGTAAAGCCCCTGAAATTTGGGGATAGTTGTTGTTGCAGCACAAGCTAGCCTGTGCTGACTGATATACCAGCATTCACACCCTTGCACCACTGGGACTCATTGTTAGGTCTAGAAGATAAACGCTGCTGAAGATTTATAGCTTTCTTTTTTCCTTCCTTCCTTCCTGCTTTCCTTCCTCCCTTCTTTTGTTTCTTTTTCTCTCTTTCTCTTTCTTCTCTTTCTTTCCCTATCACCTATCCATCTACCTATATCATCTATTTGTCATCTATCAATCATCTATCATCTCTATGTAATTGGTGACTGCAAATGGGCAGAGAAGTCATAAAATCTTCAGACTATGTATAACACAAAACTGCATATGTTAAAGAAAGTTGCATTGAGAACAATCTGAGTGCTTCTAAAAACACAGTTGTATAGTTACTCTTCTATAATATAACCCACAAAACTCTAAACATACCCCCAAAGCCTCTTCATCTAATCAACCTGAAGAGGGTGTCCTTTATCAGATGAAGTCCCTGTCTTTGTGTTAGAAATGACCCTGTATCAGTCAGGATCCTTGCAGGAGACAAGTAATGTATACTCAATTTACTACATTTGAAAAGGATTTATTAAAATGACTACCTATAAATGTCCCCCTTAGGGGAAGTGCAGTACCCCAGGGTTAGACAAGTAGGGTGTCATTACCACCCCTAAACCTGAAGTGGCAAGTGGAAGGAGGGACTTCCAGGGCCCCCAGCAGGGGGTTCACCTACTGGGAGCCATGACCTGTAGTTGCGGTGTCAGATGTCCTTAGACACATGTCCAGATAGAGGAGGGTGGTGATGGCAGCTGAGGGGTAAATGGAAGATGTCTCCCACATCTGGATGGTTTCAGCAGCAGACATCTTCACAACAATTAGGTGGTCAAATTTTCAGCTTGTTTTGGTGTAAGAAAGGGAACAAACTTGAAAGCCATCTTTAGCTTTGCTCATGACTTTCTGGGTCCATAAGTGAACTCTGTGCTGGAACTAGGCACGTGGGTATTCACCGGAAAGTGGAAGGCTGTAGAGAAGGGCCCCCTTTTAGTATTCTCTCTCAAGCTCTTGTGATATTGGAGAAAATTATCACCAAGAGGATCCATTTGGTCTGAATTAGCAATACAAACCCAAGACACATCAATAAACCCACATTCTTTAATGAAACCATCCTTTCTAGGTAGAGACATGTTAGGTGCTCTCCACTTTCTCTTTGAAACTGACATCATTTCATGAAACATAAAGTTACACAAAATTAAAAATACTGATATGTTTACATATAACACTTTAAACAGTTTTCCTTTTTAAAAAGAAAACTTTTAGGCATTTGGAATTGCTGTTCAGAAGTTCAGTCTACAAAAGAAACTTTAAAAACATCTGCTGAAGCCAAGGGAACATTCATTCACAAATGGAATGCTAACAGTACCAATCTGAAAGTTACCCAATGGACCCAATCAATAGAAAATCCCAAAGTGAATTTGCTAGTTAGCAGGATTTTACGAATTATTTAAACCAGCTGAGCAATTTGTGAGTAATATGAAACTTTACAGCAGGAGTGTCCAATCTTGTGGTTTCCCTGGGCCACATGGGAAGAAGAATTGTCTTGAGCCAAAAAATACACTAACACTAATGATAGCTGATGAGCCTTAAAAAAAAATCACGAAAAGAAACTTACAATATTTCAAAAAAGTTAACGAATTTGTGTCGGGCCACATTCAAAACCGACCTGGGCCATGGGTTGAACAAGCTTGCTTTAGAGAGAAATTGTAAAATAGAAATAGAGGGGAAACTTCATCTTAGAGGTATTTACCCTACATATTTACCTTAGTGGAAAATAGAGGGAACAGTGAGTCAACGAACAGCCTCTCTTTCTCTGATTGAAGACATTCCGCTGGCTGAAGTTGATTCCAGGCCTTTTCCTGCCCTGCAATCCAGCTTTAGCTTTTGCTAGACCAGTTTACTGCAGAACTGAGCCAGGCTGGAAACCCAGACCCCCAAATTCTTCATCAGCCTGTTTGTCCTAAGACAATTCTCTGAACTGAAACTATTCTTGCAGCTCAGTGTCATTCCCAAAGCTTGGCACCCAATTTAAGCACAAAGCAGGCTGCAGTGGCACCTTCTACCTCTGTTTGCTTCTGGGGATGTTTGCAGGCCGGTCACTGAGCAATTGCAAACACCAAGGCAGAGAGGCCTGGGTCTTTCTGCTGAATGGACTCTCTCTTGTGAAGCCAGCCTCGAGGTTCTTCGCAAGAACCTGTGTCATGCCCAAGTCCTCACAAGTGTGGGCTTCCAGAGAAGCGGCCCAGCTAGCCCTGGCTGAATCAGGGCTTGTCTTTTCTGCAGATACGTCACACTGGAGGCCTAAATAAAGGTTTTTCATAAGGGTCCCATTGTTGCAAATTGGCCATATGGTGACAATCATTGAAGCTGTGTTTTTGAAAATGTTCATACAAAAGAGATAAGAAGTATCATTGTTTCGCCATCTTGCTGTGAAGCACCGACTCTGTTTCTGACTCCCTCCCACTCTTCTATGAAATGGGTTAATCTTGCTTAGACTTCTAAAGCTTGAAACTACAAAACTTTTATTTCCTTGGACAAAGAACCTTAACAGCCATCTTAAGTATCCCAGTTCCATTTTCAACTCTGATAGACAAGATGAGACCAAATAAAACCACAGAACATACAAAAATTAGAGAAATGGAATCTACACTAACAGGCAGATGGGATTGGAGCCAGAAGGTCAGCTGCTCCATTTGCCATATCAAAGCGCACGCTGGGCAGGGTCTGCCATATGCACAATATAAGAGTGTCGGCTGAACCTCAGTCCAGGGCCAAGAAAGGCCAAAACAGAACTTGGTGAGAAGAGAGGCGGGAAACGGAGAGCCAATCTTGCAGGACCCACAGTAAAGCGAAGGCAGGGGGTTGGCGTTTTCCACACTGCATTGATTAAGGCTTTGACAGCTGATCTTTTACATACATACATATATACAGACATATATTAATAATAATACTTTTTTTTCTGTTTTAAGGAAAAAATATTCCCATGCATTTCTTTGACTTTTCTTTGTATCATTCTAGTTTTTGCTCCCAGCAATCATTTTAATGAGACAGAGTCCTCTGGTGGCATATTCTGATCTGTGAAAAATATAACCTTTTACCTTTTACAAATACTTTGTCTAAAATGATGCTGATTCATTCCAAAGGAATTCTGGTGCATGGGAGCGATCTTGGCTCTAACCAAAAACACGCGTGTGCCGCCCTGTGTTCCACACCAACCAAACAGGACTTATAGTTATGTAAACATTATTTAAAAATTATTCCAACATAAATACTCTTTTAAAGCTAACATACCACAGCTTTTAGCTCATAATGCCCATAGATGCCTTAATGAAATGCCATTCAAAACTACCTCACTGTTTAAATTATACCTTGAGGTACTACAATTATGTAAACATCCGCTACACTTCTCTAGAACAAGTGCCAAGTGTTGTGAATTCTGATTGCAAGTTGGTGATTGAATACTAGTTAATCTAAGCAATGTTACCAATGCACTCTTTAACCTGGTTGGCTACAGGAAGCTAGTCACTGATTGACTTATTCCACAAGGCGATGATTTTTACATAACTTATAATTAACCAGTCTTCAGCAGTGTTCACCCCACGAGGGACCTGAATTGGTCCCTCGTAAGATGTCTTTGCACAGTTTGCAAATGCAGTTTGAACTGGATGTCAGAGTCCCAGTGTGCCACGGGAAGTTCCTCCAAAGCTAAAAGAAGAAATGTTCTTCAAAGCCCATGGAATTCCAAGCACAGGTGGAGTCTTCTCAAAGTCAATGAATGAAAAACTATCAGGACGAGCCACAATATTGTCTTCTCAGCAGACAGCACTCTTGCCAGCAAATGTTCTGCTGTCTTCATAATGGATGCCTCAGCCCCCACTGTAATTAGGGATGGGGGGAACCAAAGGGACAAGGAGAGCCAATGACTCAGAGAAATGGCCTGTGGTCTCCTAACTTCATGACAATGATTCTCATACTCGAAACTCCCTCTGTGAACACTGCTCAGTGTGGTGCCTTTTTAAGTCCTGACATCCATATTTTCAGGTTTCTTGGTTGCCATGTCCCTGGCAGAAAGAAAGAAAACAATTCCAGCCAAAGCTGTGAGTCACACATTAGTCATGGCCAAGCTTTCATCTCTTATGCCCAATATAGACAGAAGACAGCCTGGCACCTTTGCAAGCAAGTCCAGATTAGAGGAACGACCAACCTCAAGGTTGGCCTTTTGCCACATGGGAGCAAGGGACAGGGAGAATGGGCATGTACAAGCATAGCTTGAATGGTCAGAGACTTCAACCGTAATTTTCTTTAACAGTTCATGAGTGAAAACATTGCAGCCAAAATCAAAAGAACATTTTCTCTCCACCTTGTTGGCCAAACTTACATGTACTTTCATTCAAATATATACCTCCATGACTGGATTCTGAGTGTTTGTTTGAGAATAATACTGTACACTGTTTTAGGGCTGATTTTCAAGGTGCTATTGTTGTAAAACGAAAACAAAACACTCTCAATGCCTGTCTTTCAGGAACATCAGCATTATTTCTTCATGTGCAGGGCATCCTGGAACTTGGTGCTGGTGTATCTGGCATGAAAGCCTTTCTTGCTGATGGTGTCATCTGTGTGGAATCGAATCATCAGGGAATCTCCTGCGGAGTAGATTTCTTCCAATGGCTGAGGAGAGGAGAAAGGAAAACGAGAAGGAGTTTAGCTGTGATTACAGTTGAAAATGAGGAGGATGGGACCAGATCTTACACAAGCACACAGGATGCGTCCCTGCTACCAGAGACTCTGAAGGGCATCAAAACAAGCTCCTTTAAAAAAAAAAAAAAAAAAAAAAAAAAGCATTGCAAATTATTCTGCTCCAGAGAATTTTGTGGGCCCTGCTCATCCAAAGAGGATCCCAGGTGCATAGCTCATATCAAATCTATTATTTATTAAGTACACAGGTCAGTCAGGTGCTGCTCTAGGAACGTCCAGACCTTGTGTAAACTTTACAGCAACCTCATAAGGCAGGTACTAGCCCCATCTTTCACTTCAGGAAACTGAGACTCAAGTTCTCACAGGTAGGCAGGACCCACACACTTGGTCAAGTGCCACTTTGTCATTCTTCCTTTGTTAGAGGCTGAAAGAAGATGAAGGGAATTACTCAACTATAAATGCCAATTTCAGGTTCTGTTTAGCACAAGGAGCGCTGGTCACTCCAAAATGATGTGATATCAGTCCAGCCAATAGCAAAGACGCTTAAGTGACTAGGCCTGGAGGCAACAGAAAGGAGAGGGCTGGGGCCCAGCATGGGCAGTGTCCAGTGTGGGGCAGCCAGGCAGTGGCCAGGATCCTGTACTGGCCAGGGCACACATTCCCACCCAGCACCAGCTACATGCCAACCCCTATGTCAGGTGCTGAGAAACAGCAAACACAACAGGCTCACTGAAAAAGACAGTAATGAGAAAACTGATAATGACCTTGAGCACAACCATCGTGTATGTAGTGAGTAAGTGATTTGTAATTTTCATAGGCATTTGGTTTTGCTTGAGGAGGGAAATGTGAATATTAGGAATATATAAAAACATAATTAAATATATATATATTTTGAGACAGAGTTTTGCTTTTGTCACCCAGGCTGGAGTGCAATGGTGTGATCTCCACTCACTGCAACCTCTACCTCCCAGGTTCAAGCGATTCTCCTGCCTCAGCCTCCCGGGTAGCTGGGATTACAGGCATGCACCACCACGACACCCGACTAATCTTTGTATTTTTAGTAGAAACGGGGTTTTACCATGTTGGCCAGGCTGGTCTTGAACTCCTGACCTCAAGTGATCCACCTGTCTCGGCCTCCCAAAATGCTGGGAGCCACCATGCCTGGCCCATAATTAAATATTTTTAAAGCCTGAAGGCCAAATAAAAATGGAGGGGAGAGGCCAGCCATGGTGGCTCATGCCTGTAATCCCAGCACTTTGGGAGGCCGAGGCAGGTGGATCACTTGAGGTCAGGAGTTCAAGACCACCCTGGCCAACATGGTGAAACCCTGTCTCTACTGAAAATATAAAAATTGGCTGGGCGTGGTGATGCACACCTATAATCCCAGCTTCTTGGGAGGCTGAGGCAGGAGAATTGCATGAACTCAGGAGGCAAAGGTTGCAGTGAGCCAAGATCCAGCTGGGTTGACAGAGCAAGACTGTCTGTAAAAAAAAAAAAAAAAAAAAAAAAAAGCAGGGGAGAGGAAAAGCCTTTGTAAAAACGGAGAAAGTCCCAAAAGGAAAAGTGCTCATCCGTGGCTGGCATCAGTAGTAAGAGGCCTTCAAGGACTGGTCCCTGGCTGCCTCCTGACCTCCTCTCTGGCAGTTCTCCTGCTCCCCGCTCCGCTCCCACAGAACGAGCCTCCTGGCCATTGCTCCTAAGTGGCGGGGGTTTCCAGGCAGGAAACCCGGCTATGTCTGACTCCACAACTCAGGCTGTGAATCGTCACACTCTGCCCCGGCCCCAGCGTCTCTGGGACTTACTCCAGAGCCACAGAAGCGGCCGAGCCTGGGCGCTGAGCTGTCGTAGCCGTCGTAGGCTTCCATGTAGTCGTAGCCGCAGTCGGCCTCCTCCTCAACCTCAAAGGTCTGGAATGTCAGCTCCACGCCGTAGCCGTCCTCCGCCACGATCAGCCAGTCGCAGTGGGCCTGGCTCGGGTAGTTGTTGTCCCCAAACTGGGCGTGGGAATAGAGCTCTTTGGTCTGCACTTCGGCTTTCAGTCTGCCCCCGCACTCTGGAGCAGAGAGAAGTGAGATGTCCCCTCAGCACAGGACACCCTCGTGCCTCCCGCCTGCGTGCACTCAGCTTTCCCTACAGAGCCTGGGGTGGGCCTGGCAGGCGAGGCCAGGCAGTCTCATCACCCCATTTGATGGAGGGGTACACAGAAGCCCCTGGCTCCCCCAGGTCAGGGCTCCCTCGTAGATGCAAGTGGCCCTTATAACACTGTGGCTCACACCTGTATTCCCAGCACTTTGGGAGGCCAAGGCAAGCAGATCACCTGAGGTCAGGAGTTCGAGAACAGCCTGACCAACATGGAGAAACCCCGTCTCTACTAAAAATACAAAATGAGCAGGGAGTGGTGGCAGGCACCTGTAATCCCAGCTACTTGGGAGGCTGAGGCAGGAGAATCACTTGAACCTCGGAGGCAGAGGTTGAGGTGAGCCAAAATTGTGCCATTGCACTCCAGGCAACAAGAGAGAAACTCTGTCTCAAAAACCAACAACAACAAAAAAGTGGCCCTTACAAACCAAGGTTTTTTTAAAAAAAAAGTGGCCCTTATATGTCTCCTGTTCCCAGCTTGAGAATACATGATCACGCCATTGAAAAGAGTTAGCTGCTTTTTGCTTTTTCCAGTTATGGAGGCATGGAGCCAGTGGATGGTCTTGAACTCCTGATCTCAAGTGATCCACCTGTCTCAGCCTCCCAAAGTGCTGGGAGCCACCATGCCTGGCCCATAATTAAATATTTTTAAAGCCTGAAGGCCAAATAAAAATGGAGGGGAGAGCCCAGCCATGGTGGCTCATGCCTGTAATCCCAGCACTTTGGGAGGCCGAGGCAGGTGGATCACTTGAGGTCAGGAGTTCAAGACCACCCTGGCCAACATGGTGAAACCCTGTCTTTACTGAAAATATAAAAATTGGCTGGGCGTAGTGGTGCACACCTATAATCCCAGCTTCTTGGGAGGCTGAGGCAGGAGAATTGCATGAACTCAGGAGGCAGAGGTTGCAGTGAGCCGAGATCCAGCCTGGGTGACAGACCAGTCCGCCTGACTGGTCGCTGGGGTGTGGGTGGGTCTATTTGCCACTTTATTCCCTGAAGTGCTGGAGGCCTCTGAGAAGGGTTCACACTCTCCTGACTGACTGGCTGTAATTTGTCATTTCTGCCAACAGAGGGCGATAAAAGCACATCAGAACGGCGGGTGAGCTCTCAACCCAGGAAACCTCAGCTCTTACTTGACTGGTTCTTTCAGTTGAGAGCATGGACTGTAGGCCAACTTTGAGGTCCCTGTGGGTGTCACAGGTGAGCTGCACCTCAGACTCTGGGCTTGTATTCTGTAGCCTTTGTTTCTGGGTTTGTTATCACACAGTAACTCTGCTTGGCCTTGGTCCTATACATAGTACCTTGTGTCTTGGACATGTAAGTAAGTCCACATAAAATAAAATGGACATTGGCTGGGCACGGTGGCTCACGCCTGTAATCCCAGCACTTTGGGAGGCCGAGGTGGGTGGATCACTTGAGGTCAGGAGTTTGCGACCAGCCTGGCCAACATGGTGAAACACTGTCTCTACTAAAAAGACAAAATAAGCCGGGTGTGGTGGTGGGCGCCTGTAATCCCAGCTGCTCAGGAGGCTGAGGCAGGAGAATTGCTTGCACCTGGGAGATGGAGTTTGCAGTGAACTGAGATTGTGCCACTGCACTCCAGCCTGGGCCACAGAGTAAAACTCCATCTCAAAAAAAAGAAAAAAAAAGTAAATAAATAAATAAATAAATAAAATAAAATAAAAAAGATAGATAAGACCTGTCTAGATGAGCAAGCACCAGAAATTCTGGAGGCAAATCCCTGCACAACTCCTCCCCTCCCCAGTGTGCTCCATGCCCCCGAGGGGCCCAGGCAAAAGCTGTTGTAGATTCTGTAGGTCCTGGGTCCCGCTGGAGCTTCACACCCCGCCTGGCCCCAGTCCTGTCTGACTGCCCATTCTTAGTCCTATGTTGACTCTGGCTTAGAATGTCTTCCAGGTCTAACCCGTCTTTGGGAAATTTCAAGTTCCTTAGAGCTGGGTGGTCATGAAATGAGCACAGAGCAGGGCAGAACACCTCCCATCCATCCCACCAGACCCCCCAACCCTCCCCACGTGCCTGGGCCCCGGGAGCAGACCCCTGGCCTGCATCGATGACGCCTGCATCGATGACGCCTGCAGCCTCTGCTGCAGGTTCACCCGTGGGGAGCACCAGCAGATGAGAGGAGGGGAGGGAGGAGAGAGGTCAGGGCATTCAGTCCCCTGATTGTCACAGCTTTTCTTCCACTTGGGCCACAGCTGCAGTCGGAGGCTCTCTGCATCCCTCTCTGTCTCCAGCTTCCAGGAACTCTCCCTCCTCTCATCCTGGGCCTGGGGTTGCAGTTCCTAGCCTTGCAGCTCCTAGCTCTGGTGGCTTCACTGTCCTGCAGTGTCCCAGTCCCTGCTGTCCCCTTGTAACATGTCCCTTCATTAACTTCTCCTCAAATAATGACTCTGAATGTGCCCCCATTTCCTGCCAGGACCCTGGCACCTGTGTTCTTCCTGGTCTCTATCTGCAGGGACGACATCACTAGTTAACAGCTTTTAAACTTCCCTGGGGGAGGCTAGAACTGCTCAGGGAGTTTGAGAGGGTTCCACAAACCATGCAGTGTTTTCTGGTGTGCAGGGCCAGACTGAACTGCCTTCGGATGCTGGCTACTGTATTGTTTGACCTGATTTATATTTTCTGTTACTGAAAAAAAAAATGCGGATAGGAACTGTTAAAAGGATCACAGGGTCCCATGATCGTGATCTCAGAGTCAGCATTACAGAAGCAGAGTGGGCTTTGGGTGGCCACCAGCTCTGACAAAGGACACAATTGTACATCAGGATCAAAGGGTCAGATTGGCTTCCGTGGGCACTAATCCCAGGTGGTAACATTTTAATGGCTAAAGAGCAGAGCCAAATTTCTTACTGACATTCTTCTGCTTAACGAAGTAGATAATATAAGTTATAAGCACATACACTGCCCACCAAAGGACCCAATAGCAATATTTACATTTTGAGTGGAGAAAAAATCTTGGGGAACAGAAACATTTTCACTTTCCAGAACTGGTCCTTAGAGGAATAAAGGGCTGCCTTCACCATTACACAACTTTTGGACTTTACAGATCAACAAAATACCCAGGCTGGAGCGCAGTGGTGTGATAAAACTTACTGCAGCTTTGAATTCCCAGACTCCAACGATTCTCCTGCTTCAGCCTCCCGGGCAGCTGCGACCACCACACCTCACTATATTGTCTAGTTTTTATTTTATAGAGGTGGAGTCTCATCATCTTGTCCTAGCAGGTCTTGAACTCCTGGGCTCAAGCAATCTTCCCCACTCAGCCTCCCAAAGCTCTAGGATTTTATGTGTGAGCCAGTGTGACCAGCCTAAATACATTTTTAAAAGAGAGGAAAAAAGGGGAAAAAAAAAAAGGAGGAAGGAAAAGAATGGGGCACTAACAAAGGGTCGTCCATTTCAAATTGTGTCAATTAAAGACAGTGAAAGAAAACAGCTCTTTTCCCTGTGGTTGCTGATGCTTCATTTTTTTATTTTTTTTTTTTAAAGATAGAATCTCACTCTGTCATCCAGGCTGGAGTGCAGTGGCACAATCTCAGCTCACTGCAATCTCTGCCTCCAGGGTTCAAGCAATTCTCCTGCCTCAGCCTCCTAAGTAGCTGGAATTACAGGCACCCACCACCACACCCAGCTAATTTTGTATCTGTAGTAGAGACAGGGTTTCACCATGTTGCCCAGGCTGGTCTCGAGCTCCTGACCTCAGCTGATCCGCCTGCCTTGGCCTCCCAAGGTGCTGGGATTATAGATATGAGCCGCCGTGCCCAGCTTGATGCTTCATTTTAATAGGACATTTTATCACACACCTTCCTCCCCTCACTCTTCCCCGGTCAGAATTAAAGGCAGTCCTTGTCCTGCCTTCACCATCTCTCTGTCTCCTGTCCAAGTGCTCATCAGCTGGAAGGCCGCGGCCCACCCCAGGTACCTGTGCTGTGCACTGCCTGGAAGCCTTTCCTCTGCACTGAGGCATCCGAATAAAACCTGAGAAACAGACTACTGCCCGAAGCCACCAAGGGATCTGGTTTCTTGCTGCCGCAGAAACGGCCCAGGATGGGGGCCAGGATGTTGGGCCCGTCGTACATTTCCAGGTGGTCATAGGCACATTCCTGGTGCTGCTCGATCTCAAACTCATTAAAGGTCTGGGGACAGAAGAGCAGAAAGTAAGGCCAGGGCCTGGCATTCAGCTGAGGTGGGGGCCTCCTCTCCAGTTCTGGGAGAGGAAGGAGCGAGGGAGTGCATGCAGACCTCCGGCTGGCTGTGCCCAGGGGTGTGTGGCCATGATGATGCTTGGGGACATCTGTAGAGAGGCTCTCAACTTCCGCCTTGCTTTTGGTCCAGCAAGTGGCCCTACGAGGTAGTTACATGAGCTATTGCTACGATGACCACACTGCAGATGAGAGAGTAGGGGTTCAGAGAGTTTAAATGCTTGACATTTTGACAGCTAGTAAGTGACAGAGCCAGGCTTTCCACAGCCCAAATCTGTCTTCCTTCCATCCCATCACACAGCTCTTCTCTCACTTAGGGCTAAGAGCCAGCAGGGCTGAGTGCCCACTCTGTGTCAGCAGCTGTTTTAAATGCTTTACAAGTATTGCCTCATTTAATCTTTACAACCCTGTGATGTGCCTAATCACTTTACAGATGAGGAAATGGAGATTCAGAGCTGTCAGATGACTTGCCCAAGGTCACACACTGGCAGAGTTGGGCCATGATCTGGCGCTCTGACGTCAGAGACGCTGCTGTTGACCTGCGCACTCTGCTGCATCATCCTTCAGTACCAGTGACACAGGTGAGACTGCATGAGGCGCACACTGCTCCAGGCAGCATCCTCATGGTGGCTGACACTGTTTATTCCATGCCAAGCATTTACGGGCATTTCCTCACTTTCTTCTGGTGATGCTGTGAAGGAAGAGCTATTATTTCCAACATGCAGAAGGGGAAAGTGAGTCTTAGAGAAGCCGGCTGGCCTGCCCAAGCTCACACAGCTGGAGACAGATGAAACTGAATTTGACCCCAGCCAGACTTCTCCAGCCCCCACTGCTATCCGTCACCAGGTTATCCTGCCTCACTTCTCCCTGTTCCCCCTAAGGACTGTCCCCTAGCACTGGCCAGGGGAGCCCCACCATTCCAGGCTTTTCAGCCCTGAATGCAGGCTTCTCAGGTACTGGGTAGGTGGCTGACTGATGGCAGCCCCAGCGTCAAGGGAGATGGGAAAGGTGAGCGGGGACTGTGTTAGATGAAGACTTGGACCAAATGACAGAGCAGGGAGAAGGACATTAGTTAGGGGGTCGCAATTTGAAAGAGCAAGGCCAGCCTGGCAGTGCGGAGATGGAGGTTGGGAGGGGGACACAGGACCACCACGGCAATGCAGGCTTTCAGAAGGATGACTCTGACACACTACCGCACTTGGGCAGAGCTCTCCTGCCTGTGAAATAGGGAGCGCTGGGGCCAGGGTGGTGGGTAGAGACGCGGGGCAGGGGAGCAGTGGCACCAGGACGGCCATGCAGTGGGAGGGAGCCTTAGGCCAACAGGGAGGGAGCTCCCTGGAGGCCCATGGGGCGCCCTGTCACCATCCCCATGCAGTGAACACCACCAGCTTCCTTGAGAAATATTCAACTCACATTCTATGGTAGCAAAAAGAGCGCAATCAATATATCCACCAACCATTTCCCAAGGAAACGCCTTTTGGAAACTACCACGTTTGTGTACGAGCCTCAGGCAAGCCCTTCCCGTGTGCGTTTGCGCGCTCCCAACGCCAGAGGGCGCCTCCCCCGCGGTCCTCGGGGCTCTGCGTTGCCATCGCGAACATTTCCCAGCAGATGGCGGTCTTGGAGAAGCAGTGCCTTTCCCTAAGGCGCTCTCCAGCGCATCCTCACCCAGATTCAAGGCTGACCCTGGACAGCTTCTCTTAGCACAGCGGCAGTTTCCCCAGCATGTGAGCACTCTGTGGTCAGGGGCCCTGTCTTCACCCATCGACGCCTTGGGGGCCCATTCGCCTCTTCTGCTTCTAACTCATGGCTCTCACCAATAAACATCCTGCAAGTCCCTGCGCCCTAGTCCATTGACCATGGCTTCCCCCTCTCCGTTCTCCTTCACTGTCCCTAACTTATCTGTCCATAGTTCAGAGGGCTAATCCTACTCACCTCTACAGTCAGAAAACCCCACTTAAAAAAATGCCCGTCTGCCGGAAGTACAATACATTCTCCAACTGGCAAAAGGGTTTCTTTATTCTCCAAAATGTGGGAGTCCCTGGAGGCTGAGAAATGAGACTCCTAGGAGATTCAACTCTCCTTTGAAATAACTGAGCTTGGTGTGCACACCACACGCCATATATGTGAAAAAGACTTTAAATAAAGGCTTGGGGGAAACTTTTTAAAATTATC